ATGCCACCTCACACACACATACATGTATATGTATAATTATAATATATACATGTCACCGAACAATGGATCACTCGTAATATTTCGCTACTCCGAGTTTCATGCACGTGCATGAAACTCGGAGTAGCGAAATATTGATCCATTGTTTGGTGACATGTGTCATTGCTCCCCCCAAGAAATTGGATGTTGAGCACTTTTTCTGCAGCTGCAGGCATAGTCTTACTGAGTATATATATAGGCAAGGGAAAAGGAACAGGAACAGTGGACTGAATACAGTAAGAAGGTGGTAAAACAGCGTAAAAAAAGAAAGAAAGAAGATAGCTAAAGTAAACAGCGAAAATTGCAATAATGATACAAAGGTGCAAATGCGAGAAAACTCAATACGCGTGACATGTAGTGCGACAACAAGAGTCAGAGACAACCACTGGACATACATGTAACTAACGAAGTTTTGACGACCTACCTAACAGCCTAAGTGTGAATTTGATTTGTTTCTGCTTGCAAAGGTTGGGTTTTTTGTGTGGATGTATACAGCTTCCAAAACATTCAGCAATCTAGCACTGCGTACACGTGACACAATCGAAAAACAATCATCTGAATACACAGCACGACAATCACGATGCTCAAACAAATGACTAGCAATGGACGACTCATACTTATCAGAACTAACATCAGAACAATCAGCATGTGCGGTAGACACATCCGATTTCACATGGCTAGTCGAGTGGACCCTAGCCGTTGCCTCTGTCTGTGCTTTAGTCGCTGCCATCGCCGCCTTTGCCGATCTTGTCATTCTTCTGGTTGATGCAGTTCCTGTCACTGCCACGCCAGTAGGTGTCTTGTCCGGTTGATTTTCTGGTGGTCTAGTTAATTGTGAGGTGACGTTGCTTGGTGTTGATGCCGCTGCGTTGGACCATCTTGTACCAGGATGATTCTTTGCCGCTACTCCCGTGCTAGCCCCACACTGCAAGTGCTGTTGCTACCAACCAGTGACGCTCCTACTGGGCTGCCATTATCTATGGGTCTAAGACCACCGCCAACCCGCACTGAGCTGGGTAAGGGTTGTCTGGCGTTCCAAGGAGCTAGGCTCTGGAATGCGTTGCCCAGCGAGGTGCGGGCCATACCACACCCGGCCCAATTTCGCACTGCTGCTGTTCCACACAGCATGAACCCTTGAGGTCAGACGGACCACTATCACCATATTTTCATTATATGCCTGCCTGCTGGCCTGCCTGCCCGTCTCTCTCCCTGTTCTCTGACAACTTGCTTGTTAATTCGTGCGGTTGTTTTCAAACGTAAAGCCCTGTTGTAGAGGTCTCAGCCCTCATTTGTTAGTCTCTCTGTCTCTCTCTCTGTCTCTCTCTCGCTCTCGGATCTCTCTCTCTCTCTCTCTCCGTTTTTGGTGGACAAAAATATCTCTGGCGTTGATTGCTTTCTTGCTTCGACTTCTGCCGCGCCTTTGTTCTCGTACTCCCCTTTATGTACAAGTGTTGTGCAGTCCCTCCCTTAATATAGTCTGTCTCATTTTGTCCTGAGATGTTTTGATGCATAGTGATTATGACGCTCATCATTCGCTCCCTTGTCACTGGACAATTCTGTCCGTTTGGTTTTAGCGAATTCAAATAAAGAAAACAACAACAACAACAACAACAACAACAACAACAACAACAACAACAACAACAACAACAACAACAAAAACCGGTTAGAGTAACCCCATAAGATAAATGAACAAAACGTAGCCTGTAGGACCTATCCAGAAGTGAGAATAAAGGGGAGGGCGGGTGGGAAACTACAACGAAAAGAGAAAGACCACGATGAAGAGAAAAGTTTGAGAACACTGACAAAAAACCAGCTGACGAAATCCTAGTGCTGTAACTATGTTGAAAATGCTGGCAAAAATACATTTTTCGTTTCATTTGCTACGCTCAGCCAACGAAAATTAGCACTACCTTGAAAAACACTTTAATAATCAGGGATGGAAAAAATTAAGGAAGAATACAGTACAAAAGTCTAGGTACGAG